CCTAAAAATCTGGGGGGTTGGGGTTTTTTTGTTTGGTGGTTTGGTTTTTGTTTTTGGTTCGTTTGGGGGTTTTATTTTGGTTGGTTTGTTGTTTTTTGTTTTTTTTTTCCCTCTCCATGTGGAATTGAGGAGCCTTCTGGCTTGCAGTGGAGTATATTTTATACAGCCAAATTGTTTTTGACAAATGAAACCAAGTTATTGTTAATTACTCAACCTGTGGCCTTTACCAAACTGAAATATATGATTAAACAAAATGGCTCAGACAGCACATTAAGCTTTGAAGAATTATTCTATTTTTTGAGCTCTCAAAGCCTTTTCTTCAGAAAAAAAAAATAAAGCATTTTTTGTCATGACAGCAGGATTGTTCAACTCCATATTTAGCCAGTGTCAAAAAGCTCAAGAAAAAAAATTGTCAAAAGTAATTTTGTGATCCTTCTGACACAAAAAGCACACGCACAGGCACCCAGATAATATTGCACTCCACTTTGCAAGGGAGAAATATTATGCTTTGCAGCGTGCCTTTTGTGAGCAGGCGCTTGTTTTGAACCGTCTGCAATAGGATTTTCCAATTTTGATTGATCATGACAGAAAATGAGCTCCATAACCATGACTAAACTAAATGTCGACTCTAAGAGCTGCAATATTTCTGAATCATTAATGAGTATAGAATAAATAACAGGGAAACATGCGGAAAGCCCTACCTTTAACTCTAATAGTTGCCATCAATATTCTTGATCTTTCTGTTTAAAAAGAAAAGCTTTCAAGGCTACCTGCTTCACTGCCGGTACATACGTTTATTCAACAAAACTAACAATGCAAAATCGTGCATTTGTCACATAAAGCTCAGCTCCTTGGAAGGCATGGCATAAAAATATCCACAAATGTCCAACAGCTTCTGCAAATAAGGGGATTTTTCTGAGCTTTCCTTCATAGCAGTAGCAATAAAATAAAATAAATTTAAAAATAAAGGTATTTATGTGTTTCTGATCTGAGGAGGGCAGTGCCGAGGGGGGGACGCGGCAGCGCACCGTCCCCAGTCCCGGGGAGAGTTTCCCGGCCCGGGGCAGTCTGTCCCTCACCCCGGGGGGGACAGGGTATTTCCTCCGCCCCAAAAGCTTTAGCCCCAGCCTAATATTTTCCATACCGGACCTAGAGCTCACGATGCTAAATCACAACTGGGGGCGGGAAGGAGCGGTAAACCGAGAAGGCCGAGGGAAAAAGGGAGGGTGAAAAAAAAAAAAAAAAAAGCCGGAGCAAATGAAAACCATCTCACAGCAAGGTCGGAGGACTGGCGGGAGGGGGTCAGCACGTTTTGGGGGTGCCGGGCAGCTCCCAGGCGCTGCCCCCACCTGTCCGTAGGGCGCTGAGCACCACCAAGAGCATTTGGGGCATATTATTAATTATTTAATGGCGCGGTCGGTGGGAGGGTTGGCATCACCAGCTGGAGAGCGGGGCCCAGGCGCTGTCGGCGAGGCCCGCCGGTTGGGGGGTGGTTCGGCTCGGCAAGGCTCAGCTCGGCAAGGCTCGGCTTGGTACTGCTAGGCCGGCTGCACCTGGTGCCCGCCCGCTCCTGGCTCGGGGGTCTCATAGCTTTTCCCTTTTAGCGGCCTCGGCGAGGGGGAGAGGGGAAATCCCGCTGCCCGCATTCCTGCCTGTGCCCCCTCCCTGCCCCTCTTCCATCAGTCGTCAGCCTTTTCTCCAACTCTTTTTCCTTCTTTTTCTTGTTCTTTATATTTTTCTCTCTTTTCCCCCCCGTTTTTCCTTTTATTGACTTATTTTTCTTTATTATTTGTATCGTTTTCTTTCATTTTTTCTTTCTTTTTTATTTTCTTTTTCTTTTTTCTTTCTTTTTCTTCTTCATTTTGTACTTCTTTTCCTTCCTTCTCTTGTTTTTATTCTTAGTTTTCTTTTTATTTGTATTTTCTTCCTCCTCCTTCACGTTTTTCTTCGTTTTCTTTTTATTATTGTCTTCGTTTTCTTCTCTTTCCCCCTCTTCTTTTTCTTGTCCTTTTCCTTCTTCGTTTTCTTCTCATTTTCTTCTTCCTTTCCTTCCCCGCTATTTCCACGCACACACCCCTGCACCCAGTCGGGCCGGGGCGGACCATCTCCCGCCCGTACAAGGCAGCCGCGCAATCCCGCGGACTTGTGGAAGACTCACGGGGGCTGCGCCCGGGAGGCGGGGAGCTGTCCCGCCGTGCATGATGCTCTCCCGCAACAGGTGCCCGGCGGAGGGGCCGGTCGGGGGGTTTGTTTCTGCTGCGGGGTGCGTGTATATTTTTTTTCCTTTAAACACCTAGAGAAAGCCTCTCCCAGCACCCCATCCCCACGGATCAGGGCTGCGAGCTGGCTGTGGTCACGGGTGTGCGTGTGTGTGCACATCACGGTAAGACACACACCCCCCCACACACCCACCCCTCGCGTCTCGGAAGGAGAAGGAGTGCGCACAAACTGCGGGCACCCTCGCTCACCGTGCGTGGGGCCGAGCACGCAGGTCGTTAAATACCTGTCTCTTATACAC